CCTCGACCCACCCCCTCCCCCATCCGCTTTCACACAACCCCATTTTCTGTCCCTTCCCGCTTACATCTCCTAGGCCCTATACGTTCTTATACATGTACTACCGTCTCAAGGCCCTATGCCGCAGCATGTATGACGAACTTATCGTGCAGCCTCTCCGCTACATTTCTCTTCCTCATGTCCTTCAAGGTCTGGATCAACTCCACCACGTTCCCGCGCCGGTGGAATGAAAGCCACTTGGTCAGACTCTGCAGCGCCTGTTCGTCTGCCGTGACGTCACGACGGGAGCAGAGGTAGTCCAGGGTATCGACGTCATGCTGACGTTTTGCAGCGTCACGCGGCGGGTCAAAGGGCAGGTGGAGATACAGTTTTTTCCAGTCCTTGCCGATAGAAGGAGCAGCCAGTTTGCAGGCGTCAGTCAAAGTCTGCAACCCATCTGTATGATGATAGATTTTATCATTAGCATGCAGTGAATCCTAAACATTGCGCTCTATCAGAGCTTACAATAACTGATATATTTGCGAAGAAAAATATTCTGAAACCTTGCAAAACTATAGTGTTTTAATCATTTATGTATTTATGAGACATTTTGTTTAAATTTAGAGAAAGTTGCCACGAAATCCCAGATGTGTAACAACCCCATTCTGAATCCTATGCTCTGCAATCCATAGAAACAGATAGAGACAATCTCAGGCAAAGAGAGATATAGAGACAGTGATTGGGACAGAGAAAAACAGGCAGAAACAGAAACAGAAGCAGACAGAGAGAGAGACAGATAGAAACAGAGGCAGATGCAGAAACCGAGTACGATGCAGAAACAGAGACAGTCAGAAATAGAAACAGAGACAGTGACAGAGACAGGCAGAGGCAGAAACCTAGACAGTGGCAGAGACAGGCAGAGGCAGAAACACAGGCAGGCAGAAACAGAACGAGAGACAAAGGCAGATGCAGAGATGGAGACAAAGACAGGGACAGAGAGAGAGACAGAAATAGGAACAGAGACAGAAGGAGAAACTGAGACAAAAGCAGCAACACAGGCAGGCAGAGATAGACAGAGACAGAGACAAATAGAAATAGATACAAAAACCTAGACAGAGAGAGACAGAGGCAAAAAACAGAGACAGAATCAGGGACAGAGACAGACAAAAACAGAAACACAGGAAGGCAGAGACAGTAAAGGAGACAGAGACAAAAACAGAGACAGAAACAGAGAGACAGAAACAGAGAGACAGAAACA